CTTTAACACAATGTATATACAGAGATCAGGCATCACGTTATAACCCCCTTTCTAATATTATATTGTCCACCTTTCTGCTGATAAAACAGCCCTGACCTCTTGAGGCATGGACTCTACCAAACCCCTCAAACTGTGCTGTGGTATCTCACACCAAGGTTTTAACAACAGTTAAACTTTAAGTCCTGTAAGTTGCGAGGTGGGGCCCCTTGTTTGCCCACATCATCCCACAGATGCTAGATTGGAGTGAATTCATGTCAACATTTAAAACTCGTTGTGCTCCACAAACCATTCATGAATCATTTTTGCTATGTTTGCCTGTTTGCACTGCGGGAGGAGGCCATAATACCTGCAGGAAACCCGTGCCGGCACATGGAAAACATACAAAGTATAAGTATCAGTGTTGGGTTACTTTGAAAAAGTAATTAATTATAGTTAGTAGTTACTTCTTCAAAAAAGTAACTGAGTTAGTAACTAAAAGTAATTAATTACTTGAAAAGTAACTATTGCGTTACTTTAAAAAAACATTTAACCCTCTGGGGTCCAGGGTATAATTGGCCATTTTTCACTACTTTTGATTTTCCCTCCACATTTCACCTTTAAAAAGTATTTACTTTGCCTTGTTTGGTATCATCCTTTTGGCCGTCATGGTGCATTTTTCCACCAAAACGAACGGGCTGTTTTTTGTTTTGTTTTTTAAATTTTTGTTCATAAGCAGAGAGTGCTTGCTAGCGCTGTCCTTAGACAGTAAACATGAAACTATTCAGGAAGAAACACGCGTATATATATTGTTTATCATGACTATGACATGGCCTATCAGCACAGTTTAAAAACTGGTATATATCACCTTGTTGCTTTGTCATCTTAAAGTCATGTGATTGGCTTACCACGACTACTTTATGTCTCTGAATACGGGACAATTCCGTTTTTTACGGGACAGTTGGCAACTCTACTAACTAACCTTATGAATAAGTTCACTATCAGTAACATCATAGCACCCACCCAGCTGTATAGAAACTCTGTCACGCTAGATAGTACACAGTACGAGTTATTGTAACGGACTGTAAAAAGTTAGCACAAATAATAAACTCCACCTAACCTTGGTTTATATCTGACCCATATAGACTGCAGGTCATAACTTCCTACCTGAAGTTCAGTTCACCTGACACTCGGACCGGAGGCCGCCTCGGGTCTCTCCTCCTCCTGCCTCCCCTTTCTCTCATCCACCTGCTGGCCTCTGTGGAAGCTCCACCATAGCCACCACCAAACAACTGAGTTATTTTTACACATCGGCCAGCATCTGGCCAATCCACCATCTTTCATTGTTTATACCGTTACAAAAAAAAAAAAAAAAAAAAACACCCATCGGCCCATAAAAACAAAAAATCACCATCAGCCCACCGGGCAAATGCCCGGTATGCCCGATGGCCGGTCCAGCTCTGCTTGTTAGTAACGGTAACGGCGTTGTAACGATAGAAATAGTAATTAGTTAGATTACTCGTTACTGAAAAAAAGTAACGCCATTACTTGTAACGCCGTTATTCCCATCACTGATAAGTATGATCAGTCGGGCCCCTTAGGCCCACCCACAATGTTAGGCTCCTAGGCAATGGCACTAACTACTCCACCACCACAGCACAATTACAAGTCTTTGTGTCTGTGTCAAGGTACCCTCTGTCCTCTCTATGAACTCTGTTAACGATGTGAACCATTTATTCTCACTGTTTGGTCCTTCAAAGCTCAGCAGGTACCTGGCTCTGCGGGAACTTGTTCAAATATGGTAGGTCTCGTGAGAATGTCAGGTTTTCCATTTAACTCATCTCTTTGCTTCGTAAAAAAAATTGTGTGTTAAGTTGTGCTTTGTGAGCTGATCAGCTGCTGTACAAACTTTAGATGTATTAGTGGTGAAATATTAACAATGTGTAAAACACAGACCACACACTGTGCCGGTGAGAGTCACATCAGTGGCAGAGCGAGACATCCAGGTGTTATGTAATTATTTAAGGTGGGACATGGTTCCCTAACGTATTAAGGGTCGATATTAAAAGGTTCAATTGAGTATTTTTAGCTTAACCTGCAGGGATCACATGCATGTGAGACTAATCTGCATTTGACAGACCTGTGGAACATAAACCATTACAGTTTGAATTGAGGCTGTGGTGCATCGTTGGCTCTATGACCTGCAAATCACAGGAAATAAACGCGGAGTGACGAATCCATTCTTTTCTCTTCCACACCATATCCTTTTCTTTTTTTACCTCTTCTTGTTCAGCATCGTTCTACTTCTGCTTGTCTCTTTGCTGTGTAACCCCTGTCTATCTCTCACCCCTCTTTCTCCAGCCTCCTTCTATTTTGCTTTCCTGTGTTACACGTCAGTTTGCTTCCTCTGTCTGCTTTTTAGCATGTCTGACTCTCCTCGCCAATTCTGTTCTGCTTTGTTTCAGAGCTTTTATCCCATCTCCCCTTCTCTGAGCTAAAGCTTAATGTGTGTCTAACTGTGTCTCACATTCATTCGTTCATTGTCTCAATAAAAATAAATCATCTCCTTTGCTTTTACTCTAATTTATCTCATCTCGTGGATCATCTTTCCCTTCTTTTAATCTAACTTGCGCTGTTACCTTTGTATTTAGTATCTCACCTGCTCACTCGCTCGCTATTTCTGTCTGTCTGACTGTCACTCTCGCTATTTTTTGTTTTTCTCACTGCATCATCTTATTAGTGTTATTTGTCACTATGCCTAGACTGGTATCACATGTTTGTATTTTTCTGTATCCCAAATAGTTACATAATGAAAAAGCTGGGAACAATTTTTTAGCAGCATCGTTAAAAGCAGCATTTGTTTCTAAAAATAGTTTTCTGTACAGATCGTCTTCAAAGTGTCTAAAGTGACAGGTGGTGTCTGACAAAGTTTTGCACTGGTGTATGTTTATCTTGGAGCGTTTTTAATTTATATATATATTAATAGTCAACCACTGCAAGAAATTGGCCATGACTGCTTTAATGTCTTTTTGATGCAATTTTATTACAACCTATGCTACCTGAGCAACTTAAATACAAAAAAGTATCTGGATCACTGTAATATGTTCAGTTCAGTTCAATTCAGAGGTATTTATGTGGCGCAACATCACAACAACAGCTGCCTCGAGGTTCTTTATACTGCAAGGTAAAAACCCTACGGTATTCAGGAGGAAACCACAACAATAAGACGATTCCCTGTGAGCAAGCACTGTGCTGTGGTGAGAAGAAAAAATTCTTACTTTCACCAGGAGGAAACCTCCAGCAGAACCAGTCTCAGGGAGGAGCAGCCATCTGCTGCAATCAGTTGGGGGTTAGGGGAAAGAGAAAAGGGAAAAAAGAGAGCACAGGGAGACATGACCAATCCCAAAATAGGGGAGAGAGGAGAAACAATTAAATAGATTTTTTTTTTTAAAAAAGGAAACAGTTATTAATATACCAGTGTGAGAGTCTGTTGCTGCACGTGGTTGACTGTTTTCACTTGTCAGTTATCAGACATTGTGTTAGGTACACCTGTTTCACTGCAGATTGATGCAAACATTTTCTCAGCCAATCACAACTCAGTGCATTTAGGACTTTGACTTTGAGTGTTGCATGGCTGTTGGTGCCAGATTGGGGTTTGCCCACACAACCATCTCAGAAAAACACAAAATATCCAGTGAGCAGCTGTTCTCTGGGTGATGACAGCGCTCTGCTGCAACATTCAGATGGCAGTGACAGAATTTGGAATAAATAACATGAAAGCATGGATCCTGGTTTGTATCAAAGGTTAGGGCTGATGGTGGTGATGTAATGGTGTGGGAGATATTTTCTTGGCACACTTTGGACCCCTTAGTACAAACTGAGCACAGATCGAATGGCGGTCCAGCTGACTATTGCTGCTGACTGTGTCCATCCCCTTATGACCACAGTGTATCCATCTTCTAAAGGCTGCTTCCATCAAGAAAACATACCATTCAAAAAGCTCAAAGCTGAGGTCTCCTCCTCCATAGTCACTGGATCACAGAGCAATTATTCACATTATTGATCTGCAGCCATCAAATCTGCAACATCTGTGTGGTGCTATCATGTCAATATGGACCAAAATCTCTGAGGGCTGTTTGCAGCACCTTGTTGAATCTTTGCAATGAAGAATTCATGTAGCTGTGAATGTAAAAAGGAGTCCAAAACAGTAGCAGCCAGGTGTTACTAAAGTGTCCACTGATATTTGTCGTTATTTACAGGGGCAGTGTAATTTTCCATCCAGCAGTTGCTGCAAACGTATTATTGCTTAATGTCACTGTATGCTGGCAGGAAGATTGACGTTATTTGAAACTAATGTAATGGGAAAAGGACCCACGAGACAGAATTACAATTCAAAGATCCAAATTTTTAATCTATGCAAGCAGACTGCCACATGAGGTGGGCAAAAAAACCCCAAAAACTAGTTCAAAAGGTCACTTAAAGGGAAAGATTAGGAAAAACGCACAAGGAAATACCTGGAAATGGAAGTGGAACAGCAAGGAAACAAGAGTAATTGGGTAATGTAAGCCAGGAAGTTTACCTTACCTTACTTTGGTTTATTAGGATCTTGAGGCCACAAATCTTTACATTTTCATGGTGTAATAATGAAACACACACATGCAAACCAACTTATAACACAAACCGTGACTCAAATCAGGGTAAGCCCTTTAAATTAGACAGTTTTTTCAATCCAGTTTTATTGGTTTCTTGTGTTATCTGTATTGACAGTGAATTCTCTCCCTTCATAGGCCATTATAAAACTGTTCTTTTCACTGCATTGGTTCTTGCTGTAGGTAATGATAATTGACTTCCTGTGGCCTGTCTGGTAGGATATTGGTTCTTAGCTACACTTAAATACAAATTTTCAAAACAAATAATTAATATTTGGCCCGAGGATGTAAACTACATGTATTGAGGATAAACTTAGGAACACTGGAAACAAGCTATATGTGTAAAAATCACTGTGCTTGTTTCTGTTTTAACAGAACTCCAGGTAACAAACCAGGCAGCAGCCCCAGAGGTCAGACTCCAGATGAGACCGGACGCCGCCACGGGCAGGGCCACGAAGCCAACTCTTCTGTTTCTGACTTGGCCAACTCGGTCACCAGTGACATGCTCATGGTAACATACACGAGTACTAATAGCTCAGATCTGTAGTCTGCTTTCTGCATTGATGATTTCAACTATATTTAGAGAGGGAGAACTGCTTTTGGCAAAGCCTCTGAATCAGAATAAATGAGATGGCAGAGAGACTTCACTGGTACTTTCAGATCATCTTTCATAATCTAAGATGAAAGGTGCATGCAAATCTGGAGATAAGAAAGTGGAAGACGAGCCAAAGGAGTAGATGAAAATAGTGTAAAATGTTCAAAACTTTCACCCGTTTGTGATTAATCACCATTACAAAGAACACTGTTTTAAAAGCTTAAATTAATACATTTAGCAGTACTGTTTATGTTTATCGCCTGTGCTGCCCAGTTTTCTAACTTATAGCAGCTAATCGTCTTCTTTGAGGCGGTTTGCAGCTTGACAGTTTATCTTACCTTTGAAAACAGCAGCTGACAGTTGAGTTAAAATGATCCACTTTCACTGACTGTGCTGAATTAAATGTCAGCGATAAAGTACAATCCCAGCTTCTTTTCTTTCTTTCTTTTTAAGCATCGTGGCCCTATTTTTGTATTTTGACAATCATTGCTATCAGTAATAATAACACCTAACCTGTCAAAGTCATTTCTGAAAAAACACAAAAATGTAGCGTGCCAGTGGGGTGTCTGTTTGCAGCCAATCTAAAATGAAAATATATTTTAGAGGTAGTAGATTTTCTCAGAAACCTTCAATTTTCCCCACCAGATAACCTTTTTGCTTGCTTACCTGCTTTCTAGATCACAGTGGTTTATTTGATAAGTGCAATGATTTTCTTTGATATTTCACTATATGAGAAATAATTGGCAAGGCTTCAAAGATAAGATCAAAGTTGCAATGCAGATTTATTTATCATGAGCTACGTGTCACTTACTCTATATAATGCAGTCTTTTGGTTCAAAGACGGAGAAAGCCTACGCGCTTCAGTTCAATTGAGGAGGAAAGCTGTTTGAGAAGTCTTTCATCACTCAGGAAAGTGCTTTCTCCTTCACCCTCAGCGCACCTACCTGTAGAGCGTTACAGTTAGCTGCGGCTATACAGTAAGTCAGCTAACTGAAACATAAAGCAATCATTACCCTGAAGTGAGACTCCGGGAGGGGCGGCAACGTGCACCTGATTCAGAGAGGTTCGGTAATTAGCTGTGAGAGAACATGCAGTGCTGCTGTGGGTGCTGTGAGAATATGGCAGATCGGTATGAGCACTGTGTAATTATGTGGGTTTCATGGGGTGTCTGAGGAATTCACAGTGGCAGTGCCTAATGATAATACTCATTCTGGGCACTTTTGCCAAAGCCATCTATATATTACACAACCCTCCTTTCATGCTGAAAATACCAATCCTGCACTTTTGAGCCACTTGTGGTGCTATATGAAAAGACATAGTCATATATACAGACAGTGCTGAGAGGAGGGACCGAGTGAAATGTTATTGGACGTCACAGTATATATGCATCCAACCCACTCAAGCATCTCAGGTGATAGGGGTTTGGGGGAGATTGCATGGGGGTCCTGTCAGCATCAGGTTCTTATCAGTACGTACTCTGACACGGCTTTCATTTTGTGTGGTGCTCACAGAGTGGTGGAAAGTGTGGTGTGAAAAGTGTCTTTGCCTATAATCACACATCCACACATTATAGGGAGGCTTATATGTGCTTTATTTGTTTAAAGGATAAGGCTAGTGATATTCTACCATTTGTTGCCACTGTCAAGGAATCTAATGGATGGATCCCGAGCACCCGAGGGTTAGCCCATTCATTTTTGAATCGCAGTTACAAAGGAAAGGAAAGGGTTGTAACATTTTGACAATAATAGCTCAGATTTATAGACAAACAATATCTGATGAAACAAATAAAAGTGTGCTTTATGTTGTTCTTGAACACTTGCAGTCAAGAATTGCTAAAAGTGCTCATGAGCTCTCCAAAAACTACTTGGAATCAGCCGTTCTAAGAGATCGGGAGATCCGACTGGAAGTGTCGCTTGTAGAGGTGAAGTCTGGTTGCTTTTTTCAAGACTGACATGTGTGACCCTTTCCTAGATCACAACAACTTTGACTCACAGGACAGAAGAAGCATTGTGCATTGTAGAGATGCACAAAGGTGGCTAGAAAAAAAAAAGTTAAATGCTTTTTTATGAGTGTTCATCGAGGTGCAAAAGGACAATTTGATTCAAAGTGGAGGTATGTAGGGCTGCTGTGCTCCCAAGAGTGGCTGGCCTGCAAAGATCACACAACGAACTCAACACGAAGCCCTGAAAGAAGTGAAAAAGAACAGAAGTCAGACAGCAAAAGTGGGACATCTGCACAGATCTCTGCAGCTCCCTCAAATCTGACTTTTTTTTATCCACTGTGAGAAAAATGCTGCATAACAATGAGGAAAGGACAAGAAGAAGAAAAGAGCATGTTGTAAGTTTGGAATTAGGCCTGGCCTCTTGGCAATCCATGGGGAAACAATGAATTTAAAGTTGTTTGAAGAAGTTTTGAACTGTAGTATCAGGGCAAAAGGCACTGACGAAGAGCACACAAGTAAATTAAGAATCAGAATCGCTGAAAAAGAACAAAATTCATGCTTTGAGATAGCTGAGTCAGAGTCCTGACCTTAACCCAACTGAGATGCTGTGGCATGACCTAAAGAGTCCACTCAAGTCATCTCAGAATAACTGATGAACTCAAACCAGTTATGTAGTGAGGAGCAGTCCTGAATTCCTCCTTAATACTGTGCTGGTCTCATAAGCAGTTCGAGGAAACATCTGACAGGAGTCACTGCTGATAAAGGAATGCAGTCGGAGGGATTATCACCTATGCATAATTAGAACATAAAATGTAAAACTGTTTTTTTTTTTTCTTTTATATATTGGGGTTTAGATGAAGATCTGTCCTTGTTTTTGTAGAAGTGCTGAAAGCCTAAGTTACTTTTTTCCCAAAGGGTTAGCACACTTTTTCTTCCAACTGTGCATTTAACGACATGACTTCCAAAAAACAGATGTGCTCTGCGGTTTTTAGCAAATGTTACTCAAGCAAGAGTAAATGATACATTTATGTGTGGTGTGTGTGAGTGTGTCTATATAATATGATATAATCTATATATAGATAATTCTATCTGTCT